GGAACCTGGGAGTAGATCTACCTCAGATACAACTCTATAATTCTTGGTCATACACCCAAAGAATCAGCATGGCGGTCCCTCAGGAACCTGGGAGTAGATCTACCTCAGATACAACTCTTTAATTTTTGGGCATACACCCGATGAATTCTACATCCTACTATAGGGATACCAAGTTCATCGCTGCCTATCCATAATAGTTAGGAATTGGAAGCAGCCTAGATACCCATTAACTGATGGATGGGTAATAACAGTATGGTGCAGCTACATGACGGAATATTATTCAGCTGTTAAAAAGACGAAATTATGAAATCTGAAGGTAAATAGAAGGAGCTAGGAAAAAAATCATCCTGAGGTAACCCAGACCCCAAAAGACAAATATTGTATGTTTTCTCATATATGTGGATGTCAGCTTTTAAGCCTTTGATGTGCTTGCTACATCGAGGTTAGGTACTCAGTAAGGACTCCTATGAAGGGGAACTAGAATAGACAGTTATGGAGAAATGGGGGTGGTTGGGAGAACTGGGGTGGGCTGATTAGATGGAAAGAGGATGAGAAGAACAAGAGGAGAAACATGGGGGGGGACAACTAAGACTAAGGGCCATTATGCAATCCTATGAAAACCTATTACTATAGACGCTTCCTAAATATATAATACACATATATGAAAGAAATATAAATGGAGTCACCAACAACCATAGAGTCAATGTTCTAACTAGACATCTCTCACAACCAAGTGAAACCTCCAGGGTCAGGAATTGGTGTCAGCAGAGTTGTTGGCCCAAAGGCCTTCGAGGAACTCCTAAACATCTCAGGCTATTGCCAAAAAAATTGTGTATTCTCCACAAATTGAGGGTAAGGCCCAATTGTTAAAGAGAATGCTTACCTATATCTCACTGATCATGGAGAAGCTGAGCTGCTGCCTAGCGAGAGTCTTCACAGCTACCGGCTAGTGTTCATGGTACTGGAAGGTACACTGCATGCTACCAGGGGACAAAGGTAACCACCAGCTCAGCTACAAACCTGGTGATGGACGACAGTGACCTGGCTGGAAGGTATGCTGGTGAAACGCTGGCACAAACACTATGGGGGCAGTCAATCAGCCTCTGATTGGAATTAAGGCCACTCCAGGAGATGGAACCCATGTTGGCATTGCTCAGGTGGTACCAAATACCACCGTTTTGCTGAAGAAATAGCAATAAAATGACTCCTAATGATGTTCTACTATATCCACAGATGGGCACCTCATTCAGCCCTCAGACACTTCCCTCCTGCAGAGACCCACAACTGGACAATGTGCAGAGAGTGAGAGACTTTGGAGCACTCGGCCCTAAGTGAGGCATCTTCACCAAACTCCTTCCCTCCCGGCTCAGGGAGCCACACAGAGGAGGCAGAAGGACTGCAGGAGCCAGAGGGCACGGATGACACCAAGGAAACTGCTCTGCAGACACAGCAGGACGGACACACATGAACTCACAGAGACTGTGGCAGCACACACAGGGCCTACACAGATCCAAGCCAGATGGGGTCCCAGCGATGAGGGGGAAGTGGGCTTGGGCTCCACCCCACCCAAGGAGCTGTCTCCACTTGATAACCACTTAGAAAGGAAACACTAGTTTTCTCCAGTGGAGTCTCATCAGACATACCAATCACACTTGAGGGCAGGCTCCATGCCCAGCAGTAATGGCCAGCACAAATGACCTCAGTGGTACCATGGAGACTTTTGTCTCATGGGCTTTATTCAGGCAGTTTTTTGTCGTACTTGTCTTTTGCTTGTGTATCATAGTTTCTGATTTTGTGGGTTTTGTGTGTGTGTGTGTGTTTCTTGTGCACCTCCTTGGGTTGTTTGTATTTTTGTTTGTTCATTTTATAAAGGGAGGGGATGTGGAGTTGGGTGGGGGTTGTAGGAAGATCTGGTGGAAGTGAGGGAGGGGAAAGTGTAAACAGAATATATTATATTAAAATGCCAATAAGAAGAACAACAGTAAATTAGCATAAAAACATGGCTATTTGCAGGCACAGTGCAGCAGATGCCTGTAATCCCACACTCAGAAAGGTCTTCAGTTCAAGGCCACCGTGGAGTACCCAGGAGACAAAGAACTGAGACTAAGGTAATGACAGAACAGTATGACACCTAGCGATTTATGTAAGAACAGAAACTCTCATCTTCCGTGCTGGACCGAAGAAGCTGGGGAAAGGAAAGGCGGCCTCACCTTTAGAGTGACGTCACAGAGCTCCCCGTTCTCGTAGAATCGGAGGAGAGAGCTATGGAAGTCTTTCCACGCCTCGTTGGCCTCAAAGGTGAAGGAGTCGTCGCCATCACACTCGCTGACAGATGACCTGTTCCTCGCTGGCTGGTGCTGGCGCCTCCCCTTTGTCACGTGACTCCTAGCTGGTTTCCCATTGGTAGATTCTGAAGCCATTTGCACAGCTCTTTTCATGCAGCTCTGTTCTGAAACATCCCATTTATTCCTTTTTCTTTTTTAGGGGTGAGAAGACAGAAAGCAGATGTAGCCACTAAACTTCAGACATCTTTCAAAGTTCCTCCAATTGTCATCATAGTTTTCTGAAATGTTAAGAAAGAAGCGAAACACAGAGATAAACTAAGAGGTGTTATGATTATAATTTATCAATATGATACACGCAACCACACTGGTCATACTGGGCGCCCTACAGCTTGACACTGAATGTCACATGACTCACTTCAGCTAACTACATCAGCAGAAGAACATCTTTAAGGTTCAATATAAGAATAATTAAAGGACGTAAACACGGCTGCACTGGCTTCCAAAGCAGAAGTTGTGAACTACAAAGCTTAAGTTCAGAAGCGTTCTTTGAGGATGCAAAGCAAAAATCAAAGGCTATTTGTATTAAATTAGGTTCTTCTTAGATTCTATGTCAGACTGATTCCACCAGTTAGACACCGCCTCCACCTTAGTTATCTCCTCTGGGAAATGGGTACATCACTCACAGGACTATTTCAAGAGTTAAATATATACAACCAGAAACAGGGAGAGCTGAACGGTAGTGTCCAAACCTCACAGTATCTGCATTTCCATATACAACTTATATATACAAAATCACACTTACTTCATTAATAAGCATATCTGATGAATACCCTTATCATTAGCACACACATGCTACAATTCTGCCTACCTGATAGAAACGAAGGGTTTTAAGTTTAACCATCTGCTACCACTTACTGGCTGTGATCTTTCTTAAAGGTTTTCCTAACCCTCGGTTTCTCTATAGAAACAGGGCTATCCTGAGGGTCCTGAAGTGCAGTTGACTCCAGGGCACTTAGAGAACTGTGAACAACACTGCAGATGTCTGTGCTAGGATGGAGGTTTGCAATGATACACAGTTTTGGGAATTCTAAATGCCTTAGTCAGAAAGTTAGGTCTAGGGGTTCTTTACCTATCACCTCTCAGCTTTTGTCAGGAAACAAAATGTATGATGCAGACTTAGGGACTGTAGTTACTAATATGTCCTTGAAGTTTCCACGGCACACACATGATGGTGGTCCCCAACAGGTCACGTCTGTCTATGATCTCCTTGCCTGGAAGAACTGTAACCAACCTGTAAGCTACAGAATGTGGGAAGGGGATGGGGTGGCACACTTGATTACGTTAGACTGCACAGAGCCCTATAAGGAGACTGAAGAGAAAGGCTCTCTGCAGTATGGAGTCACCATGTAAAGCAACCTCTGGGACCTAAAAATCTAGGACCCTCAGCCGTACAGCTGAGAAGAAATAAACCTTAGAAGCAAGAATTTTCCATGGTGGAGAAATGTGAGAATGTAGCCTGACCGCTTTTAATACAGCTAAGGACAGACTTCTGATCCACAGAAACTGAGTTGAGAAATGTGTTATTTTAAGTCACTAGGTTCCTACAATTTGCTATATACAACAGGCACACCTATAGTTTGGATCTCCAAGGCCCCCAGCAGTCCCTGTGCTAAGTGGTCTTGCTGGCAGACTTGTGGCACTACTGGGAGGTGATGAAACCTTTTAAAAGAGGTAAGGCCTAGTAGGGAATCAGATTAGTGAGGGCACGACCCAGCATGTGGCGCTGGGTTTCCAGGACCCTGTCACTTCCCTCCTGTTCCCTGAGCAGTGTCCCCTACACACACGTCCACCATGGAGCACCGACCTCATCCCAGACCCAAAGGTGCTAGGACAGAACAGGTATACACTGAAATCTCTGAAACCACAAACCAAAATACGTATTTCCTCCTGAAAGCTGTTTGTCTCGGGGGTTCTGTTCACACCAAAAGTTACCATAGAAACTTCCTGTCAGGTTTAGAATTTTACCTGAGGGAAGCATCTGTAAGTGTTCCGGTAGCTGTCAACACCATGACAACGCTTTGTGTACGCAAATGAAGGAGTAGCCCTGTGTGTGGAGACCGGAGCTCTACATCAGGCGTGTTAATGCCTGCCATTCATTTCTGAGGCAGGATTCTCAAAGAACCTCAAAGGCCACAGGGCTAACTAAGCTGTCTCTGTCCTTGGCACCACAACCTTTACATGGGGGCTGAGGAAGTGGGGGACTGAGAGGTAGGGCTGAGGAAAGTAGAGCTGAGGGAGGGAGGACTGAGGAAGGGAGGTCAGAGGGAGGGAGGACAGAGGGAGGGGCCAGAGAAAAGTGGGGCCCGGGGGAGAGGGGCTGAGGGAGGGAGGGCTGAGGAAGAAAGCTTGGGCCCTCATGCTTGTACAACATGCGACCAACCCAGCTCCCCAGCTCCCCGTGCAGCACTTTTAAGCTCAGCCCTACTTTAGAGCCAGGCATGGTAGTGCACACCTATAATCCTAGCGCTTGGGAGACCGAGGCAACATGACTATCCTGAGTTCAAGCTACACTGTGAATCCCGGTCATAAGAAACAGAAACCAAATAAGAGCCAATAGAAAACTAGGAGTACAATCAAAACCATTTTCTACAAAGAGTCAACAAGTAAGTAACTTTGGCATTGAGGGTCATTTTTACTCTATCACAACTGCTCAGTTCTTCCTCGGTGGTAAGAGTGACCCCGAATGAGAATATGCGAAGGAGGACAGCTGTGTTCCCAGAAGTCTCAAAGCTTTTCAACTGGTGGGTAAAATCAGGGTAAGGCATAGTCTGTAGACGCTTTGCATGATAACCATCTTTAATTTAAATGCAATCAACCCTGGTCTAAAAAATTACAGAAACTCACTAGAAACAAATAATTCAAAGGTTCTGAACAGAAACTGGCCATTCTAGGGAGCAGGTAATCTCTCTCTCTTTTTTTAAACAGGCTAACTTCTTTTTTTATTTATTCTTATTTTATGTGCATTGGTGTTTTGCCTACATGCATGTCTGTGTGAGGGTGCCAGGTCCCCTGGAACTGTATTTATAGATAGTCATGAGCTGATATGTGGGTGTTAGGAACTGAACCCAGGTCCTCTGGAAGAGCAGCCACTTCTCTTAACCTCTGAGCCATCTCTCCAGCCCTAGAGCAGGTAAGTTCTTGTCCAGTCTTGTCCACCCTGCTCAGGAGGCAAATCATGTGCTTGCTTAGTGTCTCCAATCTGTAGATGTAATCTACCCATTAGCACTTAGTAGCTGCTGTGGCTGGTATTGTGATCCTTTGGGGTTCCTGCTTCTGCTGTGGTTGGTATTGTGATTCTTTGGGGTTCCTGCTTCATGAAAGAATCTGCGAGACTTTCTGCAGGATACAGAAGAAAGTGACTGACAAACTGCCAATATAGGTGGAACTGTCTTTGAAATTTCCTGCTTTGTGGAAAAGTCTGTTGGATACTATGGGCTGTAGGCTGAAGATGGATTTCCCCAATGTTACAGAAGAACTTTGGGTGACTGTCCAAGTCGGTGTCTGTCAATTCTAGATATCTCTGTCAATTCTGGAATTTTAGAAGTTGCTTGCAATGCACTTCCTGTTTACTTAAGTAATATTAAATCTTTCTGGAGTCTTTGATGGGGTTGAAGAATACATAGAGTTTTCCTTAGTTATGATAAAAGAAATTAAATATAAACATTGTAACTGTAATACTTGCTTGATAACTGTTTTGTTATATTTAATTTTACTATGTTAAAGCCTTCCTTTTTACTTAAACAGAAAAGAGGAAATAGCGTGGGAGGTCCTACTGTCTATGTGTTGCTTTTATTGGTTAATAAATAAAGAAACTGCCTTGGCCTGTTGATAGGGTGGAACTTAGGTAGGTGGGGAAAACTGGACTGAATGGTGGAAGAAAAAAGGTGGAGGGAGAGAGAGACGCCATGGAGCTGCCACCAGAGTCAGACATGCTGAAACTTTGCTGGTAAGCCACAGCCACGTGGTGATACAGAGATTAACAGAAATGGGATAAATTAATATGTAAGAGTTAGCCAATAAGAAGCTAGAGCTAATGGGCCAAGCAGTAATTTAATTAATACAGTTTCTGTGTGATTATTTCAGGTCTAAGCTAGCCAGATGGCTGGGAACCAACAAGCAGCCCCTTCTCCAACAGTATTGCAGTGTGTGTATCTCAGGTAACCCATACACAGTAGCTGAATGCTGCATCCAGAACCACCATCCTTCATCTCCCTGTCTACATACTGCAGTATTGTCATCACGAGAAGAGTATGGTATAGTAAGACATTTTGAGAGAAAGGAGGGGATTGCATTCATGTACTTTTATTACAGTATGTTCACATAATTATTCTGTCTCATTAAATGCTACTAATTTATTACTGGGCTTAAGTTACAAGTTAAATTTCATGGATGATGATGGTGTGTATGGTACAGGAGTGGGCACACACGTGTTATGGCACACATGTAGAGAGCAGAGGACAACTTGTCTTTCCAAGTATCTGTGTGCATGTAAAACTGTCTGGAGGTGTGCAACCTATAGTCTCAGGTTTCTACTGGAAGTCCTGAGACATTACCCAGAGCACCACTGTCTGGGACAGTTTCAGATGACAGGACTACAGAAATGGAGATTCTGAAGGAAAGGGAGGGTAAGAGAGTGGGGGCTATGACTTTAAATAGGAAACAGAAGAGATCCAAATGTACGGATGGAACTGTGTGTAGGGTACCCTCACATGAATCTGCACATGATAACATACACACTAGCTAGTGTCAAAGACAGGTGAAATGTGAGCCATCATTGTAAAACCCTCGTGCTCAAGCCACACGTGATGTCCCCACTGTGGGAAACGAGTACATGTGACTTACTGTTGGTGACCAATGAAAACAAGTCTGAGTATCTTAAACAGTGACTTCAAATTACACACACATTCCTAGACTGTATGGAAATGCAGACTCCAAGTACAAGATGCATACAAGAGAAGAAACATTTAAGTCTCAAGACACAAATACACCAAACAGAAATAAGATCTAACCAGACTAACAATACTAAAAAAAGTAAAACGCATGGAAACAGATTATTAACACAAAAGGAGATGGTGCAGAGAGGACACCAGCAGGGTACGGTGGCAACATTATGAACCCAAGACCCAGGAGTGTGGGCAGAAGGATTACGAATTTGAGAACAGCCTTGGCTTCACTGCAAGTTTAAAACCAGCCTGCACTACATAGCAAGACCTGATCTTAATAAAAAAACAAGGGCCATTGGCTAGCGGCAGGACACTTGCCTAGCACGTGTTCAGTCCCCACAAGAAAAAAAAAGCAACAACAAAATAACAACCAACCAAATAAACAAAAAGCCTGGATATCAAATGCAAAAGAATGAAGCTGGTCCTTTACCTTCTGCTACTGACAACCATTAACTAAGTGGAGTAGGGGTCTGAATATAAGCCCTGTCATGGTAGACTACTAGGGATGGGGCATGCTGGGATCCTAGAACTTGGAAGAGCAGGGGAGCAGTGCAGAGAAGGAAAAATGCTGTGGAATGTTATTTTAACTGGGCAAAGATGCATCTGTTTATGCTGTGGAATGTTGCTTTAACTGTGTGAAGGTATGTTACACTTGTTTATGCTGTGGAATATTTAACTGTGTGAAGGTGTGTTACATTTGTTTATGCTGTGGAATACTACTTTAACTGTGTGAAGGTGTGTTACATTTGTTTATGCTGTGGAATACTACTTTAACTGTGTGAAGGTGTGTTACATTTGTTTATGCTGTGGAATATTACTTTAACTGTGTGAAGGTGTGTTACATTGTTTATGCTGTGGAATATTGCTTTAACTGTGTGAAGGTGTGTTACATGTGTTTAACTATGTAAAGATGTGTTACATCTGTTTCACCTTGCCTGCTTAAGAAACTGAATGGCCAGTAGCTAGGCAGGAGAGGGATAGGTGGGGTTGCTGGGCAGAGAAAATAAATAGGAGGGAAATCTAGGTTCAAGAGGAGAGACATGTCTGGAGACCATGAGGACCAGAAGGCAGACATGAGGAAGCAGTGAAAGTAAGATGTACGGAAGGAAAGAAAAGTAAAAACCCTGAGGCAAAAGGTAGATAAAGATAAACAGGTTAAGTTAAAAGAGCTAGCCAGAAATGTGCCTAAGCTAGGCTGAGCATTCAAAACTAATACACCTCTGGGTCATGATATGGGAGTTGGTTGGTGGCCCAAAAGGAAAAGCCTGGTACAGAAAAACATGTAAGAAACATAAGCTCTCTCTGATGCAATAATGGGAGAAACACAAAGGCACAACTTGGAAGGAAACACAACTGTTGACATTAGTATAACTGAATATGTGCACTCTCCTGGCTCAAACAACAAACCATACTGACCCAAACGGAGCCTTAAAATGTGTGCAAATTTTACTGAAGGGAAGGAAAGGAAGACAGGAACAACTCTGGCTGCAAAAAATCAGGTTGAACCTGTAGACAGGGAACTCGGTGTTCTTACTCTCCTGCAGGGTTTACAGGAGGAGACTGTGTGTCTTTCACTACAATGGGCATGTGTCAGAAGACGTGTTCTCTATGTTCTCCTGGCCTTGAGGAAGAAGCAGTGAGCTTAGGCAGGAGCTGCCGTGTTCTTCCTGCGGCATCTTACACTGCATACACAGTCTGCTGTGTGATAACAGTGGGCCACCATTGCACCATGGTGGCCAGTACATGGGAAAGGGTGACAGAAGTGTATACATTTGCATTTAAGAAGAGAGTGCCAGAGTTTGTTCCCTGTAGGATCTTCAGGATCTTCATTAGTCCCTCCCTCCGTCCCTCCCTCCCTCCCTCCCTCCCTAGATTAACGGTAGACACATTGGGGTGGAGATATCCTAGGTTTAATGGCACACCTGATATTAAGTCTGACTGATAAAATTCAAAAGGTGGGATGGGATAGGAGATAGAGCATGTCACACTTCAATGGCTAAGGTTCTGGGATGTGAGTCCTCAGGTGCCTTCTACCTTTTGTTTGAGACAGAGTCTCTCATTGCCCTGGAACTTTGCCAAGTGGGCTGGGCTAACAGGCCAATGGGTTTCAGGAATCCACCTATCTCCATCTCTGAGCTCACCATCACTGTTGGAATTGCGTGCGCATGTCTCCACACCGGGTTTTTATGTGAGTGCTGGGACTGTGCGCTGGGTTCTCATGCTTTTGAGGCAAATACTTTCCTAGATTGGACCACCTTCCCAGCCCTCAGATGCCTTGCTACTGAGGTGTGGTCTGCGTGTAGTGGCAGCGCAGCCATGAACCCGGCTAAAGCAGAGACTAAACTCACAGTGGTGAGATCTGACACACTCCATGTCAGCCAAGCAATCAAGGGAGCAGTGACTGACGGATCTCACGGATCTCACGGAGTCCCCCAGCCTTGCCTCAACATGCTGCCCTGGGGACGCACTCCCTGTCCGTTGTCTGCTTCTCAGAGCCCACAACCTCAGTCTGCCCATGAGACAAGCATCAGACGGACACCAAATGAGACACTCCACAAGACATGTGACCAATGCTCATCAGTCAGCAGAAACGAGGGAAATCTGGTTACCATGGCAGCAGAAGAGGAAGGAGACACAGGTACTGAATTTACTGCAGCATCCTGAATGGGGTCCTGGAATGGGAAAGAAACATAAAGAGCAGGAAATTGGAGCAAAGTGTTGGCTTTTGTGCTGGTTAGGTTTGTTCTGTCAACTCGGCATAAACTCAGTCTTCTGGGGATATGGACGCTCAACTGAGAAACTCCTCCATCATATTAATATGGGGCATTGCCTTAACTGCCAACTGATATGGGAGGGTCAGCTCACTGTGGACGGTATCACCCTGGGCAGGTGAGCCTGGGCTGTGTGAGAAGTCGCGAAACAAGTCAGAGGAAATGTACAGAAAGCAGCTTTCCTCACGGTTTCTCTTCAGCCTCCTGCCTCAGCTGCTCTACATATGGACTACATCTCTAAGACGTGAAAACCTTCATCTTCCCAGTGTGCTTTTGGTCATAGTGTTACCACAGCAACAACAGCAACAAAACCAAACTAGGACAACCTTAATTAATAAATATGCATTAATAAGAGTGTATTGATTAATTGAAGCAGTCGGATCAAACTAACATATCAGTAACAGAAGAGATTGCCTAAGTGGGTCTATGGCACTTCCAGTACCTTAATAATGCTACTGTAGTTCTCGATCACCTACACCAGAAATGACAAGATGGGAAAAGCAAATGCAGAGACATCAACACCACATGAGACTCAGAAACTGACCTAAGCAAACACAGCTAAGTGAATGTCAAAGAAGCACAAGAGCAGTTCAGTAGAGAAAGAAATCTTTTCAATAAATGATGATAATATAGTCATACAAACAAAAACTAAATAAATCTTGGCCTAAAGCTCATGTTAATATGAACAAAGATTATTATGAAATGAAACAAACCACTGCACATTATATACCACATAAATATATAGCTTTAAAAAGTCACGAGCTATCTTATATAGTACATAATGTTACATAAATGTAATTACAATTAAATTTATCAAACTTTCAGAAGAAAACCTAGGAGAAAAGTTTCATGACTACATAACCTCAAGTTACAGTTGTGAGATTAAAAAAGAAATTTCTTAGATATACAAAAGAAAAATTGTTGAGGTGATCCATTAGAAGTTAGAACCTGTAGGTTAGGAGTGTGGCTCAGTGGTCAAGTGCTTGCCTACATGTACAAGGCCCTGGAGACATTCGTGTTTGGGGCACAGCCACAATAATAAACCTTATGCTATGAAAGCAAAACAGTAAGAAAATTTAAGACACACTTAAGCATGAAAAACATCTGTGAATCACTTCAGAAACACATGTTCCAGATATGTAAGGAACTTGCAAGTTCAATAAAAAAAAAAACACCAAAAACCTCAAATTAAAACATGGACTCAAAATCTCACCAGTGAAGATGGCAAACACCTCACAAAAAGATAGTCAGCATCACTTCTATTAGAGGAATAGATGGAAGTCATGAGAACAATACCATCACACACCTATCAGAATTGCTAAGATAAAATATTAACATAGTTAAGAACATTCCAAAAAGTCGGGAAACAATCCCAGGAATCAGCAACAGAGGTGGCACAAAGCTAAAAGCTTCTACAATGCAAAGAAAAGGACGGGAATGAAGAGGCAGCGTAAAGAATCGAAGAAAATCTGCCAACTATAACCTTATAAGTGTTATTACCTAGAATCTATAAAGAATTCTAAATACTAAAACCCCTAGTAACCCAATCGATAAAGGGGCCACCGAGCCGAAGGAGAGTTCCCAAAGGAAGAAGTCCACATGGTCAACACACACTCGACACATCTTCAAGTCCTCCTTGAACACCAGGAAACCAAAGCTAAAAGTGCCTTGAGAGCCATCTCACCTCTCAGAAGGACCATTAGTATGAAAACATCAGGTGACCTGCGCTGGTGAGGATTCGGGCAAAGAAACCTTTAGTGGGACAGGGTGGAGTGTCAACTCTAAATCAGAGCTACTGCATCACCCAGGTAGGCCACTTCTGTAACACGGGGATTCTGACCCTGCCCCCAGAGACACTTGCACTTGCAGGTTCATGGCCACCTTATTTCACAGTAGCCTAGACACAGAACCACCTACATATCCATCAACAAATGAAAGGCTAAAGAAAATATGGTACACGTACACAGAATTCTGTTCAGCTGCAAAGAACAACGAACCTGTTACACTGACAAGAATATGGATGAGCCGGAGGTCATTATGTGAAATAAGACAGACTGGGGAAGATAAGTATGTTTTCTCTCACATGAGGAATCTAGATTTAAATGTGTGCACGAGTACGTGCCTGTGTGTGGTGGCAGTGGAAAGGGCTCCTGGGAGCAGACAGTGAGGTCTGCAGGGAGAAGGGAGGGGAGGGAGGAAGAGGCAGCGGACTGTATGTGGACTGTATATCGTCTGTATGTATCATGAAGGAAGACCATTTGGGTGAGGGAGGAGGGGAGAAGTGAGGGGGAGAGGGGCAGGGCTGTGAATAAGAACTGTATGATGGTACAGATGCATGAAATGTCATGATGAAATCCACTTATCTATGTTAGCAAAAATTATTTTAAGAATTAGCAAGTGCTAATAAATAAAAGGATAAAGAAATGTCTGAACTTTTTTAAATATTACTGCTGGGAATACAAGACAGTTCAGATATTCTAAAATACATTTTAACAAGTTTTTTCTATACACATACAGTATGGCCAAACAATCTGACTCTTGACAACCTATCCGTAAGGAAGGAAAATTCGCATTTGTTTAAGAACTTGCTATAAAATTTGATAGCTGCTCTACACACAACAGCTAAAAACCTAGAAACAAGCTAAGTGATCCCAGCTAAGTGGATGAAGTTATGGTGACACCCTACACAATGGGACATTAGTCTGCAATAAAAGGGAATAAAAGACTCTATCAGCACACTTACATATCCTTAAAAGAACAGTCAGTGGCCAGCACCAGCTGAGGAGATGCTAAAATTAGAGGTGTGTAGAGGGAGACCAATGGGTCAAGGGTCACAAAGTGGTTTTAAAGACAGACTGTCATGTATCCTGTTACAAATGTATAGATTTACACACCAAAAAC